TGTTCATCAGAGATATTGGTCTGTAATTCTCCTTTTTGATGGGGTCTTTGATTTTGGGATCAAGGTAATGCTGGCCTTATAAAATGAGTTTGGAAGTTTTCCTTCCATTTCTATTTTTTGGAACAGTTTCAGAAGAATAGGTATTAATTCTTTAAATGTTTGGTAGAATTCCCCTGGGAAGCCATCTGGCCCTGGGCTCTTGTTTGTTGGGAGATTTTTGATGACTGCTTCAATTTCCTTAGTGGTTATGGGTCTGTTCAGGTTTTCTATTTCTTCCTGGTTCCGTTTTCGTAGTTGATACATCTCTAGGAATGCATCCATTTCGTCCAGATTATCTAATTTGCTGGTTTAGAGTTGCTCATAATATGTTCTTATAATTGTTTGTATTTCTTTGGCGTTGGTCGTGATCTCTCCTCTTTCATTCATGATTTTATTTATTTGGGTCCTTTCTCTTTTCTTTTTGATAAGTCTAGCCAGGGATTTATCAATCTTATTAATTCTTTCAAAGAACCAGCTCCTAGTTTCATTGATCTGTTCTACTGTTCTTTTGGTTTCTATTTCATTGATTTCTGCTCTGATCTTTATTATTTCTTTTCTCCTGCTGGGTGTAGGCTTTATTTGCTGTTCTTTCTCCAGCTCCTTTAGGCGTAGGGTTAGGTTATATATTTGAGACCTTTCTTTTTTCTTGAGAAAGGCTTGTATTGCTATAGACTTTCCTCTTAAGGACTGCCTTTGCTGCATCCCAAAGATTTTGAACAGTTGTGTTTGCATTTTCATTTGTGTCCATGAATTTTTTTTAATTCTTCTTTAATTTCCTGGTTGACCCCTTCATGCTTTAGTAGGATGCTCTTTAGCCTCCATGTATTTGAGTTCTTTCTGACTTTCCTCTTGTGATTTAGTTGTAGTTTCAAAGCACTGTGGTCTGAAAATATGCAGGGAATGATCCCAGTCTTTTGGTACCGGTTGAGACCTGATTTTGACGTAGGATAGATCTATTCTGGAGAATGTTCCATGGGCACTAGAGAAGAATGTGCATTCTCTTGCTTTGGGATGGAATGTTCTGAATATATCTGTGAATATACCACATCTTCTTTATCCATTCATCTGTCGATGGACATCTGGGCTTTTTCCATAGTTTGGCTGTTGTGGACATTGCTGCTATAAACATTGAATTTTTAAAGGATTTCTCTAACTGCTGCTGCACAGAGTAGACTGTGGAGGGAACATGAGTGGAAGTAGGGAAACCAGTTAAGAAGCCCTTTTGGCAGGCTAGGTGAGAGATCATTGCTGCCCTTACTAATATGGTAGATGTGAAGGTGGGGGAAAGTATTTGAATGCCAAATATATCTTGAAAGTAGAGCTGTTGGAAATTACTGATGTAAAATTAGAAGGTATCAATGATAATTTCTGTGCCTTAGCTACTGGAGGAATGGTGATGCCATTTACTGAGACAGACTAGGGAAGGAGGAGTTGGAGGCACGAATCGAGAGATTTAAGTAGGAAAAAAAAAGATTTAAATATCTCTTAAGTTCATTATGACTACAGTCAGGGAGAGAGTCAAGTGCACAGTCATCCACCTTTGGTATTTAGGGGAGAGGTCAAGACTGGAAGGTTAGTCTGGGATGATATCAGCTCGAGAGAAAGTAAAAAGGAAAGAGGTATGGAACTGAGCCCTGGGCCAGCTCTAACATTAGAGGACAAAAGAGGAGGAAGAATAAGCACTTGAGAAGGAAGAGGAGTGGTTGGCCCATAGGATAGGAAAAAATGTAGGATAATAGTGTCCCCCAAACCCAAAGAAAGTTGTATAAGAAGGGGATGTGATTAACTGTTAACTAAAGCTAAGAAATAATGATTGAGATGAGGACTGAGAAATTTACCATTGCATTTGATTATGAGAACTTGTTAGTCACCTTGATGAATATTTCACTGGAATGGCATTGACAGAGCTTGACTGATGTGGATTCAGGAAGTACTAATAAATGAAGAAGTAGAGAAAATTATTTTAGGATGTTCCCCATTAATAGGAGCAGGGAAATGGAGTGGTTGTAAGAATTAAAGAGAAGGTTTTATTTTTAGATGGGATATATTTCACCAGGTTTGCATCTTTATATGCTAATGGAAACACCTTAGATATTTGATTATTTGGAAACTAATTGGAAGCAGTATGTGGTATGTTCACAAGTACACTAAATGGGTATTGAGAAACATGGACTTCTAACTGTTATGGGGCTGTTTTCATCAATAAAATAATGAGGGTTAGTCTAGATGAACTCAAGCTTTGAGATTCTATGAGTATCCAGTATGGGCCTCTCTGATACGTTTTGTTCATGTATTATGGCAGTTCTGTTGGTTATTAGTACCCCTGGAGGCTATAGGCAATTATTACCAATGTCACAGTTACCTCAAAAGCCCAAACACAGCTGCTTACTGGCATCGGAATGCAATGTCTAGTACTACAAACACTCCTGTCTGCCAAAGACTATACATCACTGCCACTGGGTGGAGCAAAAATGGATTCTGTCTCTCTTTGCCTTTCCGAACCTGGTGCAATCATATCTTATTGGCAGTACCAAATTATATCAACCCTGATGGCCAAAAACTTTGGGTATATAGTTTTCAGGCTTCCATCCCTTGCCATACAGGGGGAAGAGCAAGAAAGGGGCAGGTAATTGCCAGTAAATAATTCCACAGAGGAGGTATAATGGACTTTATGAAGAATTAGATGAAAATTCTTGGCCTAAATGAGTTTTTTGCCTTATCTTTTGATAAGTTTTTTCATGTTATTTTTTCCCTTTCCATTCGGTAAATGAATATTTACTATGTAAGGGGTGTTTGGTGTTCTTTAATCTTGAAGGAATTTTAATGCAAAGGAGATAATCTTGTTTTAATTTCACAGCCTTTGGACATGAGGTGATCTGTAGTTTAAACTGAAGTATTATCTTTTTCTCTGCTATCTTGGGTGCATGTGTTTCTGTAATGAACTTAGGTAATGGTCAGACATGTGGGGCTCTTAGCTATTGAGAAGGATGAATCTGCATTTGTCAAGGGTAAAAGAAGTTCTTGGTCAGAAGGAGAAGAATCATTCTGCTTATGCTATTGTCAATACCAAAACATACAACGAATTTGTGGATTCTGTTTCTTAGCATAGAGCATTGTAACTGCTCTGCTTCGTCTTCTTTCCTCATTTCAACCCTCTTTTTCCTCACAGCCACTCCTCTCAGCTGCTTAAGAGGATCCAATAGTCTAGTTAAAGATATTCAGTAAATTTGATGAATTGCCTTTTCTTTGAAATTTCTGTGATCTCTTAGCATTATGTCGTTGATTTTGTTCATCCCATTACATAATTCTACCCTCCTTCTAGATTGCGAGTCTAGAAAAGGTAAAGGGGCACATTCATGAAAATACCTTTCAAAATGAAGGCAAAATCAAGACATTTTCAGATGGATAAAAACTGAGATAATTTTCCTCTGGAAGACCTGCACTCTAAGAAATGCTAAAAATTTTTTAGAGTAAGGGAAATGATAGTAGATACAACTCCAGATTAGCAGGAAGGAAGAGCACCAGAATGGGGAAATATCTGGTAAAAATAAATGGTCTTTTTATAAAAAGTATCTTTATTTTATATGTGTATGTGTATTTAAATGTCTTTAAAAGATTTTTTTTAATCAAAATGTGTAACAGTTTGTTGTGGGTTTATAACTTTATGTAGAAGTAAAATATAAGACAGTAAGAACACAAGAGGTAAATGGAATTATAAAGTTATATTGTTCAAATAATTTTTAAAGGTAGACTGTGGTAACTTACAGATAATCTCTGTAACAAGCACTAAAAACTAGCACAAAGAAGTAAAGCTAAAAAAGCAATACAGGAAATAAAAGTGGAATACTGAAAAATAAGTATTTTAACCAAAAGAAGGCAGGAAAAGAATAAAGAAATAGGATGAATAGAAAATACATACCAAGATAGTGGACTTAAACCCAGCTATACTAGTAATTACATTAATGGGCTAAATACATCAGTTAAAAGGGAGAGATTGTCAAACTAGATTTTTTTTTTTTAAAGATTTTATTTATTTATTCATTTGACACAGAGAGAGAGCACAAGCAGGGGGAGCAGCGGAGGGAGAGGGAGAAGCAGACTCCCCGCTAAGCAGGGAGCCCGATGGAAGACTCAATCCCAGGACCCTGAGATCAGGACCCGAGCCGAAGGCAGTCGCTTAACCGACTGAGCCACCCAGGCGTCCCTCAAACCAGATTTTTTAAAAGGGAAGACCCAACTATATGCTGTTTATAGGAAGTAACATTTGATTGATTGATTGATTGATTGATTTGAGAGAGAGAGTAAGTGTGCACACAAGCAGGGGGAGGGGCAGAGGGAGAGCATCTCAGGCAGACTCCCTGCCAAGTGTAGAGCCCCAACACTGGGCTCCACCTCCCAACCCTGAGATCATGACCTGAGCCAAAATCAAGAGTCAGACACTCAACCGACTGAGCCACCCAGGTGCCCCCATTGGTGAGATCTCTTTAATGATGGCTTAGTCCATAGGTATATTTTGGCATGAAGATCTTTGTGTTTAATTCAGTAAATGATAGGATCTAGTTTCATTATGGACCTTTCACACTTCAGGAACTTTTTATTGGGAAAATAATTATTTTAGACAAATATAAGTTGTTATATGTTCAATAATATTTGTATGACTTGGTCATAAAACTTGTGGTAATTGGACTAAGCTTTTGGGCTGTATTTTTAAACTTTATGAGAAATGCCTTAATGTTTTAATCTCCTTGAGACACATCTCTCAGCCCAGAGTGTAACTAGAAGAGTTCTAATCTCTATGTTGGTGCTTAGTTATGTGAACCTAAAATGTCAGAATATTCATGAAAAAAAAAGTATACGAATACTTTAATGAGAGTTTAGTAAATGTAAGTGTAGAGTGAGTCACTATAGAAAGATCTTCATGTAATTTTGTTATATGGCATTAAATTTTTTTTTTCTTCCAGGGTGCTCTGGAACAGGGTTCCAATTCTCAGCTCATGGCTGTCCAATACACAGAAACCACTAGTATCAGGTAAGAAAGTGTGGAAGTTCTTGGCCACAGAATTTTAAATACCTAGTATTTTAGTAAAGTTGAAAAGCATATTTCCCTTTTACCTTAAACTTGTTCTCATCGGTGACTTTACTGTTAGTTCACATAACATACTGCTTCTGAGCAGTCAGTAAATCCAGATAATTTCAAAAGGTTAACTCTCAAACTCCTTAAATACAGATTTAGTTAGAATGCTGTTCAGTCATAATTTTGCTGTACTATTTAAATACACATAACTCTCATCCTTGATTTACATCTATTTCATGAGCCAAGGGGAAGAGAATGTTATTTGAATGTCTGCTCTGTGTCAGCTTGCCCTGCTGAGTGCTTTACATGCACTTTATTCTTTAAATCTGTATAATAACTTAATGTGTAGGTATCACAGTCCCAATTTTACATAGAGAAAAACTGGGCAAGTCACTTACTTTTTCTAAGCCAGAGTCATAGAACCAGTAAGTGGCAGAATCACCATTCAGATCTATTTGACTTAAAATGCGGGGGCGTCTGGGTGGCTCAGTTGGTTACGCGACTGCCTTCGGCTCAGGTCATGATCCTGGAGTCCCGGGATCAAGTCCCACGTCGGGCTCCCTCATAAATAAAATCTTAAAAAAAAAAAATGTATTTTTCACCACACTGATGCTACTTAAGATTTTGAAGGATTCCGGAAGGAGTGCTGTGCCTAAGGTTGAAATGTATGGACCAGACATACCTAACTAAAAGGAACGGTATCATGGGAGGCGATGTAGTGTCATGGTTTAAGATGCTAGCTTTTGAGTTGGCAGAGTACAGATCATTTCTGCCACTTACTTGCTCTGTGGATTCAAGCAGGTCACTTAAAGTTTCCTCATCTACAAAACTTTGGCTACACAGAGTTGATGATTAAATTGCATACTTTATTTAAAGCACTTTACATGGTACTTGGCATGTTCAAAAGCTGGTAATGATGATGTGATATACTGATGACAGTATCACTGAAGTGGAAGTAAAGAGGGGCGCCTGGGGGGCTCAGTTGTTAAGTGTCTGCCTTTGGCTCAGGTCATGATCCCAGGCTCCTGGGATCGAGCCCCGCATCGGGCTCCCTGCTCAGAGGGGAGTCTGCTTCTCCCTCTCCCCCTGCCCCTCCCCCTATACTCATGTTCTGTCTCTCGTTTTCTTTCTCTCAAATAAATAAATAAAATCTTAAAAAAAAATAAAGTGGAAGTAAAGAGTCTCAGATTCTCATAGACTTAGAGTTCACAATTTATATAATATTAATTTCACATTTACTGAGCACCAGCTGTGGGTCAGACAGTGTACCAGGCACCGAGAATACATACCCAGTATAAGTTGAAAGCTGTTCATTATCCTATTAACTGAGAATTACTATGAGCAGCATGTCAGCAATCATGAATGTTTAAAATCCTGAGATACTATATTATCTTGTAGAAATAGATAATTCAAATATATATAGTAACTAGTAATTCTCTAGTGATCAGACTATTTCATTCATTTACTATATGCATATTTAAAAATATTTTTCTTTTTTAAATGGTATTTTTTTTTTTTGAGAGAGAGTGTGTGTGATTGGAGAGGTGGGGGGAGGGAGAGAGAGAATTTCAAGCAGGTTCCACGCTCCGCATGGAGCCCAATGTGGGGCTTGATCTCACAACCCTGAGATCATGACTTGAGCTGAAATCAAGAGTGGTACGCTTAACCGACTGAGCCACCCAGGTGCCCCGTCCCCCCCTTCTAAAGTAAGCTCCGCGTCCAGTGTGGAGCCCAGTGTGGGGCTTGAACTCACGACCCTGAGATCAAGACCTGAGCTGAGATCAAGAGCCGGACACTTCACCAACTAAGCCACCCAGGCACCCAAATATTCATTTTTTGATGCATCATTAATTAACAAGGCAACACTCTGCCTTCCTGTTTCAGCTCTCATACTGTAAACAAATTTCTTTTTGAGGTCTACTAAGTGCCATATTTTTCTGCTTTTTGTTAGTGATTTCACTGTTTAAAGTGGCCCTGAAGCATAGTACAAAAGGACTACCTATTGTTCAAGAAGGCTGTGTTGTGGTATATGGGGAAAATATACATATTAGATAAGCTTCATTCAGGCATTAAGTTATAGTGCTGTTGACTGTGGGTTCAATGATAATGAATAAACTGTATATGTCAAAGGAGGTATCTTTAAAGAGAAACATAAAACAAAGTTATATATTGATCAGTTGACAAAAATGGTGTAACTAGGGGCTTGTAGGAACCTAACCCTGTATTTCCCTTAGAATGTTTCAGTATTTACTAATTCAGTGTTCACACTGACTTTATAGAACATAACTACCATGAATAATAAGAATTGATTGTGTATTCAGGGGTGCCTGGGTGGCTCAGTTGGTTAAACATCCAACTCTTGATCTCAGCTCAGGCCTTGATCTCAGGGTCATGAGTTCAAGCCCCACATTGGCCTCCACCCTGGGCATGGAGCCTACTTAAAAAAAAAAAAGAAAGAAGGATTGATTGTATATTCAACATAATATGGTTAGAAATGACCTCACAGTGAGCGAGTGGAATTATTTCAAAGAAAATTCTTATGACTCATTGATAATTTTCCTTTTAGATCAGTCTTTTTTTCCTCTAAAAGTTTGATTGAAAACATAGAAGAACATAAAAGAAAGAAAACATAGGTTATCTTTTTGGAGAAAAATGAAACATTCTTTAACTCTCCTTTAACTTTTAGGTATTAGCTTATTGTGCTAAATAGTAAAAGACTGAAAATATTAAAAACTATATTAATATCATTTGAGTATATCTTTTGGGGATACGATGTGGTTGAAGTACTATAATTTTAGTTAAAATTTTATGAAGGCACTGACGTACTTTTTTATGTATTTTTTTAAATTTAAGATTTATTTATTTGAGAGAACGAGAGAGAGAGCATGAACAGGGGGAAGGGGTAAAAGGAGAGGGAGAAGCAGACTCTCTGCTGAGCAGGGAGCCCCAACATGGGACTTGATCCCAGGACTCTGGGATCATGACCTGAGCCGAAGGCAGACGCTTAACCAGTTGAGCCACTCAGGCGCCCTGATATGGTACATTTAATATCTATGGCCAACATTTGTTGAATGACTCCTAGGAAATAGGAGACCCATGCTTGGTACTTCACATATATAACATCTCTGACCCCAGTAACAATCCTGCAGGTTTATATGGTTATCCTCATTTTATGGATGAGGAAATAGAGGTTGCTCAGAGGTTGAGTTCCCCAAGAATACCAACTTGAGGAGTGGAGGAGAAATTCAAAGCCAGGTCTGTTTATTTTCAAATCCTAAAGTCTTCCCACCTTTCACACAGCCTTATAGGCAAGCACGCCTCACAAATTTGATGGAGTAGTAAAAAAGAAGTTTCCCTCAGACTTAATTTCTGTCACCAAAATATTTAAAATCATGCCAACCAGTGCAGCAATCTGTTTTCTGATACTTTTATTATTATTTTTACATGCTTTGCAGTGCACTTGAGTGGTACATTTTAGAGCTTTCCATTCAGAAAAGGGAGTTTTAGCTATTTAGGGAATTGGATCTTACAATTATCCTGACCTTGAGCTTTTCAAAATGTTATTATAAAAATTATTGCCAAATGCTGCTAATATTTTGTGGGAGAGAAATTCTTATAATTCAGACGTAGCCTTAGAATAGGGAGTATTTTTGAGAGGATATGAAATTTGCTAGTTTAAGAACACTTTGCCCTTTTCTTCTTCAGCAGGAACTCGGGGAGTGAGCTGCAAGTATATTACGCGTCACCCAGAAGTTATCAAGACTTCTTTGAGGCCATCCGCAGAAGGGGAGACACATTCTATGTTGTGTCATTTCGAAGGGTAAGTTCACTTTGAAAGAATAAAGAAAGTATTTTTGAGTACCTGCTATGTACAGGGCACTGGACTGACTACTGTGGCAGGGAAAGAGATGTGAGACAGGAGGCTGTGTAGATACGTTATGTGAGTGGAACCTGGAATACATGCTTGTTTCTGAGCTGTTGAGCATTGTGAAGATGAACATAGAATTGGTGTCAGGCAACGAGTTTATATTAAGAAAATAGAAACAGCTTACTGATTTTGATTTTTTGTCATTCCTATATCTATACTGTTTGTTTTTAACAAAAGAAGTAAAAACATGAAAATTTCTTTTTAGGCTTTGTGGTGTTAGTCCCGTCTGGTTATTGAGAAATAGACTTCCCAGGTGTGGGATTAAGGTGAATCATGGACTGATCAATATGTTAATGTGGAATGTTTGGATTTATGTTTCTAAGACTTCCTATTCTTCTTTCCTCTCTCCTTCATCAGACATTTACTCTAGTTGGTGAAGCATGTGTTAGTTTACGCAAAAGGAAGTATTTGTATGAGTACTTTTGAACGTTACAGATGTTAGATTAGATGGAAACAAGATGCAGAGCTATTTGCATTCCATCTACTTTTCCTATAAAATGAAAATATATTTTTCATAGAGTTGCCATGTGAATATCTCTGTTAGAGTGCTGTGTATTAAACCAGGAACACATGAATGAGTTAGAATTCCTTGGAGGTTTGTATCCTAGGCTTTTCTTTTCTTCTCTTTTCTCTCCCTCTCTCTCTTTTTTTTTAAGAATGTAGAGGGGGCACTGTTAGAAATAAGCACATGCTTAATTGTAGAGTAAACAGTTCATTCTCTGATTATTGTCACCACTCACTATCTGAAATTCTCAGTTAACTCAGTTCTTTTCCTGACATATATATATCTAGTAGCTCAGAATATTAGGATCAGGGAACTTTGACAGTTGAAGATTAGAGAAATCAAACATGTCATATATTTTTAACTGTTAACCAAATACACTTGGAGATTTGGAATAGTTTTGCGATGCCATCTCATGATTTCTGCCTTTTCACAAAATTCCTTGTGCTCAGCTTATTCTCTCAGACATAATTGGTATATTTACGTACTGTGCCAGCCTTGAAGTTCATTTCCAGCAGCAAGGGGGCAGCTGAGAACAGGGTTTCAGCAAGGCTCCAACTGTATTGGCTGCTGAGAACTAAGTATTTGCCTTAGTGTTGATACAGTCATGTTAAAAGTGGAAAGAAAAAAAAACACACTTTAGAAATGAGATCTCATAGCACTATGAAGAGACATGATGGGTGTTAAAAAATGAATGTGTTCAAGTATATGTTTATGGAAGCTACCAGAGAAAAGTGTTTTTAACACTCAAATAGCTGAATACTTTTTCTCAGGTTCCAGATAATTTCTCTCTCATTTGACCAAAACAGTATATGTAGTACATAGTAGAAGTATCAGTGGTCATGCCACGGGCTAAAGCTCTAGTTAGTAATGTTTTTCTAGGGAAGAGAACAATAATCCTAGCTTTAAAGGGATTATATATACAAAGGAAGATGAATGGTATTTTTATTTTAAATATATACATTGTATTTCTTCTGTTTGTAAAAAGCTCTTTCTCTTCAGTTTGCTGTAAAAAGTGCTGTTGGAAAATTACTGATTTCTCCCCACTGCCCCAACTTTTTGATGTTCTAGAAGAAACAGTCTTTCTTATGTTGTGGAAAACTGTTAGGACTATCGGCACATTCTGTTTGGATTTTTTTATTTCCTAATTACTGATTTATCACATCTTGGTGTTTTATATCAAGGAAAAGTGAGGATGAACCTGAACTTCGTTAGGTAACAGTAGTTAGAGACAACATCCTGTTTCATTTTTTCTTGTTTTGTTTTAACAGCAGGTCTAAGGAAGTTAACTTTATCATGATGACTGTAAACTGTCATGGGACAGGAATTTGATTCTTAAATGCTGGATTGTTCTTTTTGTTCTTGATAAAATGAAAATGAAAGAAGTAATGACCTCATGCTTGGTTTTCGCTTCCATTTTTCAATATAAAATATTCTAACATTTTCATTAAAACGATGAGGGGCATCATTTCTTGTGCGGAAGGATACAGGCTTTTTCTCCCACTTTGGTTCTTAATTTCATTGACTGAAATTACTATAATTGATACCATATGATTGCATTGGAATTTAAGAAATACAGAGGTTCTAAAGCCCCTAAGGTTCGGCTTAGTATAAACCAGACCTAACAGAGCCAGTAAGCAAGCTGTACTGTTTTATTTTATAAGTGGATATGTATTTAATAAAATTTTAATATCTAAAAAAGTAGAAGTAGCCATTGACTGTTTAGTATACCATTATTTAATAAACTTTCTCTGTCCCAGACTTCTACCTCCTCACACCCCATGTTCCCGCACTCTTTAATCACATTACAGTTGAGCTGCTGAAATAATTTTCTCCAAGACTCACTCTTGGATAACTACTGACTTCCTGTTACAGGCCAGCAGGAAAGAATGCTTACGATCCCAGTAATCCTGTCAGAGGGTCAAACCTTTTCCTGTTCTTTTGACTTTGCTTTAAGTTTTTGCCTCCAACACAGCAACTCCCTCTACTCTCTTTATTTAGTTCCAGGTGTTCATAACTTACTTTCTTAGAGGTATTTTGCCTTTTTCTCCTTTCTTTGACTTGTTTTACTATGATTTGGAGCCTGGGTGGTGGAAAATAACATTTTCTCAAACTTCCAAGTCACTTTGAATGTGGTATAACTGATACATTAAGAAGAAAAAATCCAATTAAGTTTAATGTTTTTTTTTTTCTCAGTGCTTTCATATGATGGTCTGTTGAGGGAGGGAGGGAGTAAATTAAAGAATATAATAAAATGAATTCAAAAGCATGGGACAGAAACAAATGAGAAGGCTTTTGGAAGGTAGGACAAGAAAGTGCTTCCAAAGAGGGGAGGGAAGATGACATTGAGAAAAAGGCAGGAAAATGATATTTACTTTGTCTGTAATTCCACTAAACATTGAAATATTATTCTAGATGCCACGCTCTTGTCTTCTAATAACTAGAGAAAGGAATTTTTATCTTCCTGGGGGCAATTTCCCATTAAGAACAGGCTCTCTTTGATTCATGTGGCTGTGAATGTCAGTTCACCATATCTTCATTCTTGTTTGAGATGTCCTTTTCCATTGAGATGGAAGCCTAGTTTTTGGAACATGATGTATTTCTTCTCTATTTTCTGTTTTCAGTATGTGTCCCTCAAATCAAAGTCAGACACTTAACATTGTCTTTTCATCTGTTTCAGATACATACATAATGTAACACACATAAGGAAAACCTGAGCTCTGGCTGTATGCCTGCCCCAGAGATGTTTCTCTCCCCCTCTTCCTGAGTACTTTATGCATTCAAGATATAATACCATGCTCTTTTTGAGTACTTTATGTATTCTTCGATAATAGTACCATATTTGGGTATTTTACCCCTTCTTGGTCTCTCATAAAAAACTTATTAGCAGTATCATATATATGGCATGGATTCTTAGGATAACCTTAAATAATAGGGTCTTATTGTAAGATACATGGGAATTGAAGAAGCACAGGAAACTGGCTCAGCAGCCAAATAGTCCCTCTGTGCTTGTGCTTCCTAGACTGGAATGTATACTAGGCCTCATAGAGATTGCAGTAGTGGCTCATTGTCATTCCCGATCCCACAGCAGCTCCAGTGATTCTCCATCAGTCTTTTTCACACATCGCTCATTCAGACTTCCCAAATAGAGGATCTGATTGTGTGTATGTGTGTGTGTGCCGCGTGTGCGTGTGTATGTATGTATACATATATCATCTCTTACGTAGAATCTTACATAGCTAGCCTGGCTCATGATTCATGGTCCATTCATTTATGACCAGGGAAATAGGGTTGATTTCAAATGTATTCTCTTGCTTTGTAAGCCAGCAACTTTATGCAGAAGGAACAGCCTGGGGCCACTCCTCTGAAAAAATCATTGTGATGGGCCTTCAGAGCTTCATAAACTGTTTATTACACTCTACAACCTGACTTTTAAAAAAAAAAATTCCTATATTGGTCCCTAATTGTTTGATCTAAAAGGCTTATCTTCTTGTCTGTATCCTAACCCTCTTAAAGGCAGGAAGTGTCATAGCTTTTTTATTACCACCCCTGACACTCAGCACAATGCCATCCACTCGGTGTTTATTAAACAGAACAATTTTAGGTAATGATTCAGTAAGAGAAATCACAGTGATGGAAGTTTGTTGCTTTTCATAATCATTTAAAGGGTATTTTTGCATCTGCTTTGCCTAAAGAACTGTGAATCTACTTTACCAATCCAAGGAATAACACAAGCAGTGCTGAATTTTAACAGAAAATTTAGAGATGACCTTTCTCCACTTATGGTTGTACTAGCCAGAGTGCTTTGTTCTTGTCTCTGTTAGAGCTGAAGGAATCATCTGGCTGAAAGTTTGACTATGAAATGTTTAACAGTCACTAGGTAGACCTTTGAGGTGCTTACATCCTCATTTTTTAATGTTGGCAGAGACATTTTGGAGAATATTGTTAGTCATCATTGCTTTCTTCTTTTGGAGAAGAGATGGTGTCTAGTATCTCTAGATTCCAGCATCAAGAGCCAGAAACTTGAAACCTTGGACAAAGTATAGAAAAAGCTCTAATTACTGCAGGAAGGTTGACTTGTGATGTTTTTGGTTCAAAATGTTTGCCAAAGATTGATTCCCATGGTAGGCCATAAAAAGGATTTCACGGAATAACTATGATATTTTCTAAATGTAATGCCTGGATTAATACCTAATATATGTTTAGAAGAATGGCATGGGATTTTTTTGATGCATATTATTTATTTCTTGGAATTACTGTGTAGTGTATATATACAAAATCGTCAGAGGCAAGAGGAATTTCCTTAGTAATCAACGGATAGTAGTCACTTACAAATTCTACTTCAAAAGGATACAGCTCCTTTTGTTTTGGGACCTCACAACTGAAGCAT